GTAACAACTTTCAAACAATTAAATTTGGTTCTTGTTTTAAACCAGAGGCCATGCAATTGACAATTCACAATTTTGAAAGAAGTACCATTGTTTATCATGACGCGCTAGCGCATCATGGAAAATATGCCAGCAGAGCTATTGCTATTCATTACGCCATGTTCACTGATAATCGTTGTTTATTACTTATATTTGCATTCTTTGAGTTTTTCAAGAATATCAGAGGAAATCCTGATTTACATAAGGACACAGCTTCTTGTCTTTAGTAATGAAAAACATACGGCTTTAAAATCACTACACCTGATCAATGATCCTTTTCTCTTATAAATCACAAACAATTTATTAAGTATTTCCCTCTCAAACACAGTTATCTGGATACAAGCAGCGCCGTCATCACATTCTCTTAGAGTGCATTCGAAACCGTCGTTCTTGTGGTTCTTGAGTACTGTTCGTACATTCACGAACGCCGAGAATATGTGCGTACGAACATGTTCATACACAGATACTCGAACGCCAAGAACACGTGGACAAATGGCGCATCAGAATGAAGTGCTTTTATACTACAACCTATTTGATATGCTCATTGAGGAAAATGACGCTAATGAACTATTATTTCATCATATTTTTGACCCTGTAGTAATGTTTTCTCCACTGTACAGAAGACTCAATGCCCCGAAAGTTGAAAACTTTGCCGAAAACATAGTCCCCTCCTTCTCCAACAACGATTTTCGCCGACATTTCAGGATAAATAGAACTGTGTTTAACATATTGAAAAACCGATTCAGTGAAAATTTACAAAGAAAGAAAGAAGGTTTGTTTCAAATTTCACCTGAAAAGCAATTACTTATTTGCCTGTGGCATCTAAGCAACCTGGAAAGCATCATAGAAACCTCAAATTTATTTAGTGTGTCCACAAGCACTGCGCATGAGCACAGGATGAAAAGCGAGGTTTCCCAAATTTGGAAACCCGATGGAAACATATGGGAATCGTGACATCAGTAGTTTCCATATAGTTTCCATTTTATGGAAACCACATAGTGGTTTCCACATAGATTCCCGACATGGAAACAATCAACCTGTGGTTTCCCGTAAGTTTCCCAAGATAGGAAACCATGGAAACATACCCCGGTGGTTTCCACATAGATCCCCGACATGGAAACAATCAACCTGTGGTTTCCCGTAAGTTTCCCAATATAGGAAACCATGGAAACATGCCCCGGTGGTTTCCATGTAGATTCCCGATATGGAAACAACCAACCTGTGGTTTCCCGGAAGTTTCCCAAGATAGGAAACCATGTAAACCTGCCTCAGTGGTTTCCATACAGATTCCCGACATGGAAGCCACCAATGTGTAGTTTTCCCCATGTTTCCCAGGCAGGGAAACTTTGAAAGTATATCTCAATACTAACCCACCTATCTTTTATTTTACAAAAAGTTAAATATTTAATTATGTTACCATATTTTTACCAATTATAGAAATATTTCAAAAGTGTTTACATGCTGTATCAAAATAATTAACTTCAAACAGTTAAAATAACTAGATGTGTATTTCTGTGTGATTAATTTAATATTTCAGCACCGTGAACGCAATTCAATTTTAATTTAATTTTACTTAACTGAATTTTATTTAATTTAATTTTGAATCTGATTTATCACTTAAGTTTTGGTAAACTCGTATAGAATGCGTGAAGTGGAATAGAAAAAAGTAAGTGCATGCAGTTATGTAGAAATCAATCATTTCCGATCCCTCTTTCTTGAAGCTGTCTATGATGAATGTTCCTTTGAAAAAATGGAAGAGCTAAGGAAGGGTACATTTAATGAAATTATTTACAGAAAAGGTTTACTAAAAAGATCGATTAAAAAGTAAATAAATATGTCAAGTTACGATTACTGATTAAGGACAGGTGAGACGTTCCTCAATAAAATAATTATATTTTTTTCCAATATTTTGCAATTGACATTGAAGAATTATTTTTACATAATTACATGTATTCACAAGACATCAAGGTACCTTACCAGGCATTTGTGTTAGATACCAGAGGTTGGCATTTCTTATATACCGGGGTAATCCGTCAGGAAAAAAATTCTTCAGTTGGTTTGTCAAAATTACATTTTTAGTGTTTTTAAATACAAGTTTAGAAAGTGATAAAGATTTTGTTTTAATATGAATTAAATTCAAATAATATATTAATATAAACTGGTCAGATAAGAATCATTCATCGAATTGGCTGGGGGTTGAGTATTATCATACTAGTATTTTACTATTAATAGTGAATATTGTTTTTTTTTAAATTTATTAATTAATCATTTCTATTATTGGGATGGGTGGGTTGCTTTTCATTTTTTCCTTGAGAAGCCCCCCCCCCCCAAAAAAAAATGCTTTGAAAAAGTCACTATGTGTCGGCCTGTGTAATTAGGGACACCTGTCCGCACGTGCCATTTCAGGTGGAGACACGTGCCGCGAAGACACCTGTCACTGTGTATTTTTTGTATATTCTATGTGAATTGAGACGGTTTTGTACATAAATGGAACAATGGGCTGTTGTCGAGCATGTACACACACAGTCTCCGACCGAAAATTCTTTTAAATTAAGATGATGATTCGTGTTTCTTTTATCATTTAAAAAATTGTATATTCCATAAATAAAGTTATACAAGAAATATTTATAAAATAACCTACATTTAAGAAGTTTAATGAAAGAACAAACTATTTAGAATTTTTATTTCAATTTTCATTACTGGTTTAAAATAAAACTATCCTCTTTAGAAATTAAATAATTTTCTATAGGTATTGAATAGATCTTAATTCTCGTCGTGTATAATTATATTAAATCAGAATGACGTTAACAGATCAATGTGAAATCAAAACTGTATTTAATATTGTTGATGAGTTTTTGTGTGAAATTTGTAATCTAACGTACTACAAAGGCATTTATTAGATAAATGTTTATAATATAATTCATCACATAAAACGTATTTTTTTTCTTTCCTTTTTTTTGTTTAAATATGTACGCAGATCCCCGTGTAGTAAACGCCTGCACTTTTCGCATGAAATTACAATGTAGGGTCCTAAATGCACATACATTATATTTATACATTACATTACATTTCTTTATCTATGTTGTACACTACTTTATTTTTATTCGCCGACATGCTACTCTTTTTTTTTTTTTTTTTTTTTTTTAAACTTGCCTGACTAATAGACTCGATCTTCAGGCCTGTAGGAAAGTAATTTCCGTTAGAGTAATAAACTAACCGGGATTTTATTTTTACCAGCATATCTTACCAGATTTCTTAACGAAAAAAAAAAAAACATTAAAGAAATACAGGGCGGGACCAGCTAAAGCTGTATGCATAAGTACAGCCCTGCACATCAACGAGTATAGATGACTTTCGACATAATCTTTCCCTAATGACTTCACTTATACCAATCACGACTAAAATACTGAATTAAAATACTGTTATATTTTCCTGCCTTTGATAAGATGTTAGTTTTGTTCCACCTAGAGATATAACTCTCCTAAGAAAAAGGTTTTCAACATTCTGATTCATTTAACAATTTTACGTGTTAAAATGATGTGGGAATTTTTTTTTAGCCAAAGGCCAAGGAGTTTAAAGTACAATGTACATGTAGCAATTAGAGAAAAGTCTAGCAGGTCTGCCAGTAATATTGATAGCAGGCTCAAAATCTAATTAAACCCCGAAAAGGAAGGAGTTCAATTAGTAATTTAATCCCCCCCCCCCCCAAAAAAAACCACAACAATTTATTAGTAATTATTAATCATCGAACTTTTCAATCATCACTATTGAAATAAAAAAAACTTCTTGATAATCATATTATAATTGTAGCTCATTTTCATGCCTTTTAGGATTCCTGTGGAAAGTTCACAATAAAAAATGTGCTTTTAAAAATTTAACATCTTTTGGTGTGACATTACAAATTCATAATCATACATGTAACAGTTAAAAGAAGCGGGGATATGGGGGGGTTACTTTCAGCAAGGACAGCCACTACCAACAACCAAGCCCCGAAACCCATATCCCGAAGGCAAATAAGTTGAGGTTTCAAGCAAGAAACATTTTTTTTCTGCTCTTGCCTCATGTATTTAACCGCTATTTTTCTAAATATACTAGGCCTACACATCATATCGGCAAAAGTATTTAGGAGCCCCTCTTTTTATTCCATGAAAAGGGGAAAACTTAATTCAATTCTAATAAGATCTCAGAATCACACTTAATTATAGTGAATGTAAACAGTTTATATTTCCCATCCTGCATCGCTCTGTAGGCGCTTTATTTCATTGGTCAATTTCCCGAGGCGCCATTTTTGGAGGATCGAGAAGGACGAAGAAGAAGGTGTAAGCAGCTGGTAAATGTGAAAAGTTAAGATGGTTTCACCACCCAGTGTCTTTAAGACTGTGATAAATGCTAGGCCAACGATGAAGGATTAGTGTACGTATATTTTTGTTAACTTTTTACGGTAAATAGTTGTAATATTTGGCAACAACAAATCTTCACTATCGGAGGCAACTTTTGTTCTGACGCCATTTTGAAAAGTTGGATAACTAAGTTTTAAATTGTTAAGTGTATATATTGCAGAGAGAAAGAGAGAGAGAGAAAAAAAATTTGAGACAGTGATATAGCATAACTTAGATTATGGAGGCCCCAAAGGCACCGTGCATGTGCATGCTGTAGGCCTATGTTGTAAAATGGCAACGTTTCGCCTTTTATCATGTTTATTAAAATGTATGCTCCATATGTATGTTCTCTCTCTATATATAAATGAATACTTTTCGGAATTAAAAAAAAAATATTTTTAACCCCGCTCAAATTATCCGGATGATAATAGTTAAACCGAGCATGGTTTCGTAGTTAAATTCAGACTGTAGAACATCCGGTTTGAATACATGTGTTTTTCTGACTTTTCGGATAGCCAACTCTTGTTTTTTGGAACTTACGACTTATGGCAAGGTATAAATTAAATATTTTTGGTTCAAACTTTGATAAAAGCATCGATATTTTACAAAAAGTGTCTTCAATCTCATCTTATCCGATTATTCATGAAGGATATCCTCATCAGAACAGTTGGAATAGATTGTAGCGAATAGCATAACCCTTAATCATATGCATGACGATGATATGGAGGAAAAATATACATAAAAAAGTGAATGTAGGTGAAAGCCTGTCCACTTTTCTGAAGAGATTAGGTTTTGTTTTATTGTTTATTGAAATAGTTTACTGCTCAAAAGATTTTTTTTTTGTAATGTCTAACCTGTTGAGATGAAGATGTAAAAAAAAGAAAAGCCTAATAGCAGGGACCTATATACTAAGATAGGTATATAGGTCCCTGCTAATAGTGAATGAATATTGATAGTATGTCAAGAAATGCAAATGAATCATCAGCTTGAATTATCAGTTTTTTCAAAATTATTGACCCGAGTAGGTAAATGTATAGCGAATAATACATACTCTTTTCCATATCACATCCTAGCCCGAGACACCAATATCAGCCAGAGGGACAGAGGCCCTAGGGCTGATATTGGTCGAAGGTCTGATACAGGATGTGATATGGAAAAAGGTATGTTTCATTATGTTTATTACAAACTTGGTAATAAAATACAGAACACTTCAAGTTGAGAAGATCAAGAAAATAAGTAAATAATCATGCACAATAAAACTACTTACATACATGTACACGGTATTGTCTTACTGAACAGATTTAGCTGTCATTAGGTCAAAATTGCAAATAATAACATGCTTCTTATATCTGTATATACAGGTAACTCTTGATGGCTTGAACTTCGATTTCTCGGAAGTTTTTGATCACTTGAAGTGAGTCTCCGGTCCCGATTTTTTCCACTATATAACTAAGCAGATTTGTTCTTGATTTCTCGAACTCCTGATCTCGAGAAACCCTTGATCCCTCGAAGTCAAAATGCAGTCCCGCTGTGCTGTGAATTTTACCCTTAATACCTCGAAGTGGCTGTGTGTATACTAAGTTATAATGTTCAAACTTTTGCCATAGCTGTATATCTGTGTGTCTGTCTGAGTGTTTGTTGTCAACTTAAACCTTCACCATAACTTTAGAACTATATGAGATAGTGGCTTCATATTTAGTATGCATACTCCACTAATGAAGTGCTTTCAAATGGCAACAAGGAAAATGATTACCAGTATGTGATCTTGACTGTGACCTGTATGCAAAAAAGATTGCATTTTAGAACTTTGTTGCTGTGTTTCACAAGCGCATCTTGTTTTTATCTCTACTGGTCAGAGACCAGAAGAGCTTATGCGATAGTAATGCGTCCGGCATCTGTCCGTCTTTCTGCAAACACTACTCCTCCTTAAATTTTAGTCTGATTTCAATATAACTTGGCACACAAGTAGACTATACTAAGATACACAATTCTGTGCATCAGTTTTTGAGAAGTCCAAACCAGTAGAGCTACAGTCTTGACAGAGACTTCTGGTTATTTTTTCTTCCATCCCGGTTGTTGCTAATGCTATTACATAATAAGTTTAGATTAGAATGCAATAGTACCTGGACATAATTTATCATTTCAGAGAGAAGAAAACTGTGTGACTTTAAAAGAAAACCAGTGAGATAAAATCATAGAAAATGTATGATGATTCAGGATGTGGTCATTTGGTAAGTGGTAATTCATTCATGATTAGTATGTATATGATAATTGCCTGGAAAAAAAAAGATTCTAAATTTTATTTAAATACTGAACTGTGGTATATCAGCTGTGAGCTACAAGAAGTTTTATGTAAAAGCTAGGGCTGAAACAATTTGCCCCCTCCATGTTAAGTGTGTATTGCTATGATTGACGTACAATCAGTTCTCTAATACTAGTACATACACTTCAATAAAACTTTGTCGTCTTGAACCTGAATTGAACAGGAAAAAACTCTGAGATCTCTCCAAAAATTTGAATGAAAAAAAAGAAATGTTTATTAACTGATTTCTTGCTGCTCTAAAAACTGCACACTAAAGAGTTCTACTTTAATATCAGGTAGTTTTATGAAGTTAGAGTGATCTGCCCATAGATTAAGATTATGAAAAATGTTATTTTACAGTCAGTTAGATTATTTTTAATAGATTAAATTATTTTTAGCATTACCGGTATTTAAAATAAAAAAAAATAGGAAATTAATTATTTTCACAAATTTTTCCAATGTAAGTAAACAGCAATGATTTCTGCTTACAGATAGTCCATTGTCTTTGAAAATTTCTTGGGGAAATGAGGCACATACCATATGTTCTAAATGAATAAAAAAGGCTCATTATGCACATATTTATATGAAATATGATATATTTTTTTCTCTCCAAGGAATAATTTCTGCAAGTCACTAAGTTTTTAGAGTTTCCTTTATTTTATAGATATTCAATGAAATTATTTGAAGTATTAAATTTTGGTAAATTTTATAATACTAAAAGGTTATATGGATGAAAAAACAGCATGCGTGTATGACAATAGGGCTTAAATTTTTGATGTCTCTTAATTTTTCAGTGACAGTAAAACAGGAATTGTCATCACCAATAGACGAATTTCACATTCCTAAGAGTTTTCTCCAATTGTCGGCGTATCACTCATTTTTCCCACTTTGTCCTTTGTAAGTTACTTGTTAATATTTTCAATCTTCAAAAATATTGGACAATTATGATCTGTATCTGTATTGCCAGAGTATGGGGGCAACATGAAAATCATAATGAATATGTTCATACAGATTTTATTTCTAAGATATTGTCCCTCAAAGTTGATACGGTTAAAGAGGGAAAACAGCGTCTTAACCCGGTTGACCCCAGATCGACCCTGCGAAGGGGAATAACTTTTGTAAATGTGAAAGTCCTTTATGGTATATCATATAGATCTAAAACTGACTGAATTTTGATCAGCCAATTCATGAAAATGATGAATGGATGTAAATAATGTTGGTCAATATATGTAAAAAAAAAAAATTAAATTACTTGTTTACATATACATTTGTGGTATCTCTCCCATTGAAGTTTATAAACTTGCTATTTATTTCTTAAATAAACTGAGCGTACATGCAATACCGGTATAAAATTACTCATAAGATACATGTATACTTAAACCATGATAAAATCATATGTGTCCAATGCAGCATATGATAAATCACTAATAATAGTACAAGTACATGTGTATATATACTGTAATACATATATATTGCATTATTTTTAGGTCCTGTTCTGTGGATGCCCTAAGACAGTGTCTACCCATCACGCCATCTGATATCACTTGTTCTGAGCATATTTCTCTCTCAACTTAAACTACAGAGAGCCTGTGGATAGAGGATGAAGAGTGACCTTGGACTAATTTTCTAGGTCAAAGGTCAGTATCAAAATCTACTGTATATCTTTATTTAAAATCGTAGTCCAGAGTATATTTCTCCCCTGGTGTAATTTAGCTTTTGTGCAATGGGGTGGAGGGTCTGCAATGATCTTCAATCAATTTCTAGGTCGAATATCAAAATTAAAAAAAAATCTCTCCCTAATATTTTTGTTATTATAAAGTGTATGTTTTCTCTCAAACTAATCAAACTTAAAGCAGGGTTCTTAGTATGAGATACATGTAGTAATATATTCTCAATGACATAATAAGGCTGAAAACATTGTTTATATTATGTTATTTTTTGTTCACTTATCATAAAGCATTAAATATTTAAGAGATACATTAAAAGCTGAAATCATATGTATCATGGTCATGGAAAGTAATTATTGTATTGGTGTATTAAAGGACATTGACTGATCTTTCAGATTTCTAAGTTATATTCAAGCATTATAATTCTGACATCATATAATAATTTTGTATGAATATTGCAGATCATAGGTGATGTGAAGAAAACCAGGAAACTGATGTTGAAAGAAGTACTTAATGACCCTTATGAATGGACTTAAATGTGAAAGACTGTTCCATTGTTTATCTAAGATGTATGAATTTATTTAATATTTTGATATCATTGAAAAATTCAGTTACAGTTTTTGTACATCAAATGAATTATTAAACATATAAAATGGTAATGCTTTTTTCTTTTACATGTAATAAATTTTTTGGATAGATTTTTAAAAGAATACGCATTATTTCACATTGCTTCCTTTAGAAAAGTTAGGGAATCTTGAAGTTTCCCAGTGATTTCAACCAGGAATCGGACTCCAGATAATTCCACCAAGTTTCCGCCACACAGAAAGTGCTACACAAGTTCCATATAGTTTCCTGAGTCAAGGAAACTTCAGGAATCATAAGGTTTCACGAGCTTCCATGTAGTTTCCCATAAAAGAAAACCTTAAGATTCCATCAAGTTTCCATTCCACGGAAACCACTACGCTCATATTCCATATGGTTTCCTGAGTCGAGGAAACTTTAGGAATTGTGAGGTTTCCCGAGCTTCCATGTAGTTTCCCGTATAAGGGAACCTAAAGATTCCATCAAGTTTCCATTCCACGGAAACCACTACGCTCCGATTCCATATGGTTTCCTGAGTCAAGGAAACTTAAGGAATCGTGAGGTTTCCCGAGCTTCCATGTAGTTTCCCGTAAAAGGAAACCTAAAGATTCCACCAAGTTTCCATTCCACGGAAACCCCCTACGCTCCGATTCCATCAAGTTTCCTGATTCTGGAAACCAGTGGAATCTTCAGGTTTCCCATTACGGGAAACTACATGGATGTTCGGGAAACTTCAGGTTTACAGAGGTTTCCGTGGTTTGGGATACCTTATGGAATCGGAGCGTAGGGGGTTTCCGTGTCACGGAAACTTGGCGGAATAACCTAGCATCCGCTACGGAAACCACTGGGAAACATGATGTAAACTTGAGGTTTCCATGTGGTTTCCATAAAGTTTCCCATGATGGGAAACCACTTTTTTCACCCAGTGGAGTGTATTTATTCGGTTGCGGAATTGATTGCAACTAATGCTTCGAAATTCATACGATGGCCAACACAAGAGCGTTTAAATGACATCTCTCAAGAGTTTCAGAACAGAAGCAGATTGCCAGGTGTTGTCGGCATTATTGATGGAACGCACATCCGACTTGTTAATCCACCCGGGGGCAAAAGAGACTACATAAACCGTAAAGGCTACCCTTCTGTGCAGCTCCAGTTAGTCGTGGATGATTACATGTTAAGACCAATTCTCTGTAATCACCAAAATATTTTGGCACTCATAGCTACAGATTTAAATTTTTATATCATATTTTGATAAAGGTGTGTGAGTGATTATAAAATCTAAAAATAGTTTTTGAATTGTAAACTTGGTTGCCATAGAAACGGGATACAAACTTTCTCATTTTTGTCAATCATGAAAATCTGTACTTTTTATGAAAAACCATGTCTAGAAATGAACAGAGATATCTAAATTTGTATTTATTGTTGTTATCCAATATTAGAGATTCAAACAACTATATTTTTAGTTCAATTTTAATTTTACACTCGTAAGTGGTCATGTTATGCATTGCAAAATGTCAAAAATATAGTAAATTGTGATCAGTTTTTACAGACTTAAAACAAAAAAAAATGCAGCCATCTACAAATTAAGCAATAATAAAACATGAAAGGTTGATATTTGGTTATATTTAAACAATTAAAAAATTGGTGGGCAAATGATATGTGTAAAAGAAATTGAAAGGTGAATATCCATTTTTCTGCATTTTGAAGCATTTTTTGCTTCCAAATTACTTCCCTTGGATTACTCTCTAGCGTTTGGAGGTACAATGTGTAGGCACTTGTAGTGGTAAATAAATAGTTTGGTGAGAAAACTTATCAAAGCGAGTACGGGGTGATGATTGGCAGTGTGGAAGAAGGAAAAGAGGCCAAGATATAATGCATAAGAAGACAAGAGGTAACTATAAATATTACAAATGCTATGTATGTACACTTTTTTCTCCATTTTATTGGCTTGCATGCATGTAACCCGAGATTCCTCTGCTATGAAAATTGTGACACCTGAACATGCTTAAGGGACCTCTGTCCTGACTCTCCCCGGTTCATTTACATACATAATTACATAAAAATGCATGTTGATGGCAGACCATGAAGACATGAATCAGGTCAGACACAATCTCTTTATATAACCAGGACCAGTACAATCAACTGATTTGGCTAGGTAGATAGCTGTAGGCCTATCCCACTGTGGGATGTGGAGACCAGCCCTTCGGATGCTATTTAAGCCAGTAGGCACTGGAACAAAAAAAATCCCTCACTGCTCAATGGTCGTGAGTGACAAGTATAGGACAAAATTTGTATCTCTCCAATGGCAAGTGGTGGGTCTCTCCATATTTGTATTAAAAAATTCTGAAGACCAAGAGACTTTATACAAATCAATGTAATCTTCTTAACATTAAGTGAAAGTTTCCCTTTTAAGAAAAAAAAAAAACCAGGTGTATAAAAATATTTGAAGATGAAAAATCATGGTATGATGAAATCTTTGTGTATAACAGTAAATCCTTGAACATTACAGCCATATTATATAATACACATACTCCTCTGTATAAAACAAAAAGTATTAAAATAGTTCTGTCAATAGAGAGGTTAAGCATTTTTCTGTGTATGTCTTCCTCTACATGTAAACCTAGCAGTGATTTTACATCATGTTCTGTTTATCAATCTGCACGTGTACTGGTATGTGTAAAACATTTCAGCGCGACACTTTTCAATCCATTTGTATCAAATAAATCTATGACTTGAAATAAAAAAAGATACATTGGATGTATGTAATAAATACTCAAATTCATACCAAACATCAGCTGAAAAATAAGTATTATGTAGTTTGAGTTTAAGAAGTTCAAGTTCTCACCTACGTGTACTTGCGAATCTATACATTGTGTACAACTTGTAGAATTACAGGGTATATGCATGCAAAACTGATGACATAAATCGCATAAAAATATGGGATTTCCCTAGGGACACGTACACGGTCATCTGCTTAACCTCTCTTTAAAAAAGTTTTATAAAGTGCTTGACCTGTACATATTTATATAGGTATCACCTTGTCCATCTGTCTGTCTGTCTGTGCAATTGTGTCAGGTCCATATCTTTCTTACAGAGAGACATTAGAATCTACTACTCCACACTAAGATTGCTCATGACCCAAGGGTGTGTCATGACCTTGACCCATGGTCATTTGGGGAAGTTCAAGGTCACTGGAAGAAAAATTTCATAATTCGTGTCTGATACATATCTTTATTATGGAAAAACTTACCTCTGAAAAACCCAGCGGGGGTATTTTGTCCCTTTTGGACAGTTCTAGTTTCGTATAGATAATATGACTTTCCTTTTGATCATGTTGACAGAAAAATAATTAATATATAGATTGATTTTTATTATAAAATTAATTAATTTTTATCTTGAATTTAGTGATTTTTAACAAAAATTGAATTTATATTCATTTCTTGTTTTCAAAGGATTCACCAAAGAGGATGAAAAGGAAAAGGAACAAGAACATACACATGTAAATCATGACTATAACAGAATTCAAATGAAACCTTGAAGTTAATTTTGGAAAAGACAATTTCAGGAATTGGGACAGCTTATAGATGCATTTCTCTTCAAGGTAACCAGTTTCAAAAATCAAATCTAAATTGTTAGAAAAACACAGTACTACATGTAGTATATGGTCTGCTCATTTCTCTTTAATGGATCAAAATGATTTTTAAAATTATAATAATATATGCATGTATAATAGAAACAGAGCTGCCAACCCTTATGATTTTGGCGTAAGGCGTACGAAATCAGCGTCTAAAATATGCCTTACGATTTCTCTCTATATTCTTCCAATTTCAGTTTTTCTCTTTCCAAGTTTATAATACCGGTTTTTTCATAGCTGGCAGTCTATATTTTCTATTATAATATATTCATAATTCTTACAACGCTTGCTGGTATCAACGTTTCGGATTTAGAAGGCCGATTACATTCATGTAAACGCTTGCTTGTATCATCAGTTCGGATTTAGAAGGTCGATCACATTTGTGTCAATGTTTTAAAGTAAACAAACTGGAAACATGCCTCAGATTGCATGTCCATTTACAAAACATCTTTAGCGGCAGGGGGCCTAGGTGATCCCTAGACCCCGCCTTACTATTTATCATTTCAGAATGTTGGCAGCTCTGTAGAAAACATGTTTAACTTTAACTACTGTCATAATGATCATTAGAAAAACACCTCTTGATATAGGGTTTGCTTTTACATTTATGTATTTGATTTAACTATGTATTTAATTCAGTTTGATATTTGTCTTCATTTGAAGATATTGAAAATTGTATTTACTTCTGCAGGTAGAAAAAAGTCTTCTTAAATATACGAGTGGAGATGCAACATCATGAAGTTCAAAGTGCAAAGCTGAATATCATAAAATCTCCAAACAACAGTGAAGCCTTAAAAGTAGGAGATATCACATCAATTTTTTTCCTTAGAAAGTACCATGATGTCTGTTACTAATAATTTAGTTTCCCAAACGAGGAGCAATGTAGCTGGCTTGTCAGAGTGATTTCCCTGAAGATGAAATTGGAAATGAGAATATTCATGTGTGTCTTCATACTGGAAATCCTCAAGATTCAACCATATTTCTAAGTGACTCAGTGACATCATTATTTAAGGAAGCTCTTAACAGCACACTAATGAGCTCTACTTGAAGGAGTAGTTTAATACAGTAAGAGTGATCTCCCCTTAGAAGTCAAATAGAAAAGAAATGGTTGCTTACCATTTATTTCACAATTTGTAATAGATTAAAATATTTTAACTAGCATTATTTTAGACAAAGAGTAAGTAATTGATTAACATTCACATTAAAATTCCCAATAGTCAACAATAGGGTTTTCTTGTAGAAATAATGCAGATACTTGTTGAAAATGAACTAATAGTCTCAATGTGCCTTTATAATATTTTTTTTCCTTAATTGAAAGTCTGCAGATCATTTTTTGATACACATGTATTGTTAAGAGCTTCTTTAAATTTCTAATGATATGTATTGCTTATTAAAATACATTATAGTTGATAATTTTGATAAAGGTTGAAAAATAATTCACAAGCTAACAGTACTTGTCTTAATTGTAATACTTTGTAGCCTTTTGTTCTATCATATGTAGATAACTGTGTAATTTTTTTGTGTTTTGGATTTTGTTTCATGTTCATATATTATATAAGCATATAATTAAGAAATTATGATGTAGCCTTATTAACTGCAGTAATCAGTACTAGAGGACTATTATTTTTGTATTGTGCTAGAAATTGGGGGGGGGGGGTATATTTATGATTATAATTCTTGCCAATAGATATGAATAAATAATTTTTTATGAGTCACTGACAATATCTCATTGATTTTATAAATTTTAAGCTTAAATTCCTTGAATTTTTATTTTAAAAAGAAAAATATATCTTGTTATATGAAATGTTCATCAAAGCTGTTTTTTGGCGAAATGCCAATTTTATGATTTTTCATTTTGTTATAGTCAACATTTGTTGTTATTTGCCCATGAATGTTTTTGAATATTTTCATTATTTGTGACAAGTACCTTCAGATGAAATAGGTGATACATTGTGAAAGTTCTGCTAATTTTTTATTTTTCTTCCCAAAATGTTGTAATTTTTCAGTTTTGACCAAATTTCGAAAAATTGATATTTTGCCATTGTTTGACAAAGTATTACAAAATTTTCAAATAATTATTAAACATATTAAAGATATCCATTGAAAGTGTTGATGTTGTAGTTTTATAAGATATTAGCAGCAGAGTTCTAATCTTAAATTTGGGTTCAGCACAGATGGTGTAAAAAGTGTGATTTTAGCAAAATTGCCATACACAAATTAGCCCTATATGTCAGAAATTTTGTATCCCGGTTACCATGGTAACGGAGGATGTCCAGAAAAAAATTATGCCATACATATAAGTTTTACCCTAGGAAGATACTATATGCCAAGTTTGAAGAAAATCTGAGACTATGCGTGCCAGACCCTTTCAGAATTACTTTGGTGCTTACAGAGAATTGCTCTTAATAACTGACGCCTATGTAGGCTGGCCTGGTTCAACCCATGATGCCAGAGTGTAAAAAATTCACCTCTATATCAAGAAGCAGAAAATGATAACAAATTTTCTTAGAATACCTTCATACTTGGTGACGGTGCTTATCCTGTAAGAGGGTGGCTGCAAACACCCATAAGAGATAATGGTCATTTATCTCCTCAACAAAAACGATTTAATAAATCTTTATCTTCAGTGCGACAAACAGTTGAAAGAGCAATAGGACATTTAAAAGGTCGATTTCGGCGTCTTCGTGAAATATACTGCACAGATGTAGAAAAAATATGCACATCATTATGACTGTCAGTGTCTTGCACAACCTATGCATTCTAGCTGATGAACATATTCCATCATTCATCGAGTATGAGGAGGACATTAACAATTTCCAGAACATATTTCAAAATGCAAATAATGGACTAGCTACCAGACAAGGACTTGTGAATATGTTCTAATTAAATAAAGATTAGATGAAGACAACCACTTTTTTTAATTATATGTGAAATGAATACTTTATTTGAAAAAAAAAATAGTAAACAGTTTACAAAAATACTGATCATTTCTTGATCTCTCCATATCACAACAAAAAAATCTTCATAGATAAAAAAAAAAACTTGGTAATTAATAGAATCACCAACAAACTGCACCGTAAAAAGCACAAACAAACAAAATATAATAAACTTGACTAGTTAAACAAAAAAAATTCAAGATCCAAGATTTCAAGTCTGTGATAAAATTTCTCATAGTTATTATTTTAAAAAAATGGCACAAATAAAACCTCTTCATAAACAGTAACGTTAACAAAGTTGCATTTTGAAAAAAAAATCAAAGTAACAAATTCACTTCTTTTCTCCCTTCTTATCAAGAATGTCTAACAATCTGTCCAAACGAGACAGCTTAGCAGCTTGTTGCTCTTGAAGAAAATCCTGGTTTTGCTTCATCTGCTCCGACTGTTTTTCTGCATAATTCTGCAGGAAGTCCAAAACTGTATTCTTCTTTATTTGTCGACCTGGTATTTTCTTTTCCTCCTGATTCATAGCTTTTTTTGTACTGAAATTTTAAAAAGATAATTCATAGTCTCATTAATCAGAATAAGGGAATACACTATAATATATACCCCGGTATGACAAAAGTTTTATGTGACAATGCCTCAGTGTACATGTGTGTGTGTGTGTCTTGAAACATTGCTGATTTTGATCAATTTTAAGCAAAAGATGCATTTTCTTTCTTTGGGTCACATGTTAACCGGTGGGTTCATCCCGATTACTTGTTCGCACCGAGTGGTATTGTGCCGAGTGGTTTCGCCCCATTTAACTACAGGTTATGTATCCTGCAACTACCCCTTGCATTGACCTTATAAAGGTAACCTAAAAAACCAAAGCTTTATCCGGTCACTGCCCTAATAAGGCCTCATGCATGTATTCCGACGTTCAAAAAGCACTGTGGCGTCATGTTTACTGCAATGTATACGCCATGGCGTCATAGTTTCAACTGCAGAGATGTGCCTAAATCTGTCGGAATAAGCTTGTTTTGATGCTCAAATGTATGCAGAGTCTGAGATGTGCCTAAATCTGTCGGAATTAGCTTGTTTTGATGCTCAAATGTAAAATTTTGTTGCAAGATTAACAAAATACATGATAACTGTCTTGGAATATAAGCTATATTTGGGCTCGGGTCGAAAATGTAAGAGGGCTCGGCAAGCCTCGCCCTCTATCACATTTTCTTACCCTCGCCCAAATATCGCTTATATTTCAAGACAGTAACGATGCATTTTATATTCATGTTCTTCAATTTAGTGATTTATTTTACACACAGTGGTAATTAGATTTAAATTACATTTTATATCTGATATTGAGTGAAATTCTTTACAAATTCAAAATTAATCCATCATGAAATTGAATGCAATATATCCATTCATTAGGTCACCTGAGTATTGCTTTCCGTTTTTGTCTGTCGTCGTGCGTCGTGCGTTAACATTTAAATATTTTCAGCTTCTTCTCTAAAACCACTGAACCAATTTCAACCAAATTTGGCATATAGCATCTATGGGTGAAGGGGAACAAAAATTGTGAATTTTGTGTGTCCCGCCCCCCTGGGGCCTGAAGGGTGGGGCAAAAACCACTAAAAATAGTGCAATCTTTAAAAATCTTCTTCTTTACTCCCGAACATCAAGCAGTCAAACTGCTGGTATGATTGTAATCAGCATTGAGTCCTCTACCAAAATTGTGAAATTCATGGCCCCAGGGTCAGGGGTTCTGGTGTTAGGGCGGGGCTCTATTGATTATATAGTGAAAATGCAGTAAGTCTTTAAAAATCTTCTTCTCTGCTCCTGGGTATTAAATAAAGAAATTAAGTTCATAATTATGATGAACAAGAGTGGCTCTACCAAACTTATGAATTTTATGGCCCCAGGGTCAGGGGTTCTGGTGTTAGGGCGGGGCTCTATTGATTATATAGTGAAAATGCATTATTTCTTTAAAAATCTTCTTCTCTGCTCCTGGGTATTAAATAAAGAAATTAAGTTCATAATTATGATGAACAAGAGTGGCTCTACCAAACTTATGAATTTTATGGCCCCAGGGTCAGGGGTTCTGGTGTTAGGGCGGGTCTCTATTGATTATATAGTGAAAATGCATTATTTCTTTAAAAATCTTCTTCTCTGTTCCTGAGTATTAAATAAACTAATTAAGCACATAGTTGTGATGAGCAAGAGCATCTCTTCATAAATTGTGAATTTTATGGCCCCAGGGTCAGGGGTTCTGGTGTTAAAGCGGGGCTCTATATTGATTATATAATGAAAATGCATTAAATCTTTTTCTCTACTCCTAGGTATAAAAAACACTAATTCAGTAAATAATTATGATGAGAAAGAGTGCCTCTACCAAAATTTTGAATTTTATGGCCCCAGGGTCAGGGGTTCTGGTGTTAGGGCGGGGCTCTTTTGATTATATAGTGAAAATGCATTAAATCTTTGAAAATCTTCTTCTCTGCTCCTAGGTTTTAAATAAACTGACTAAGTACATAGTTATGTTGAGCAAGAGTGCCTCTTCCAAAATTGTGAATGCCTTAGCATCTAGCTTAAAACATGAAACAAATTCAATCATTTTAAAGTTGTTGCATGATGCTCAGGTGACCTATAAGGCACGTGGGCCTCTTGTTTATTTAAATAAAAAGTAGGGCCTACATAAATAAATTTGATATTTAATCTTTATAATTTTTTTTTGTTTTACAGGTCCACAACAATACCCTGATAAAGTATAGCTTGATAAAGCTACATAGCTTTACCTTAAAGCTACATAGCTTTATCAAGGTATTACAAATAACTTGATATCGAGCTACTAGTATGTATCTTCATCAGGGTACTGTGCTATTGATGAATACAGGGCTCTACATGTAGCCATTGTAAAAAAAAAATAATAATAATCACCCACCCTCACACACACACAGGGGCGACTTTTCATCTTATTTTTGTCTCGCCTGCGACGAATGTCGCGAAGCGAGACATAGCGACCATAGATTCCGTCGTCGTCGTCGTCGTCGGCGTCCAACTTTTGGTTAACCCAAATGTCAAAGTTTTATAAACTGCAATAACTTTCTCAAATTTTATTCAGTCTTCTTGAAATTTGGACACAATATTCAGTATGGATAAAAATTTATATCCCAAGTATGATTTTGAAAAAAAAAATTCAAATTTTTCCGTATTTTTTCCTTAAGTTGGACTTAGTTTTTTCATGATAATTTATGGTGAAGACCTATATTCCAGCAACTATAAGTTATAGGGATATGATAATTAGTCAGTGGATACATCATGGGTAACCACAAACGTCAGTACCAGAATTAGGTCATCTTGACCTACATTTTTCTGCATGAGTGACTTTGGTTAAATTTTTGGTGGAGGTCCATATCTCAGCATCTATAACTTATAATGGCATGATGATTTGTCATTGTACAGGTTATAAGTAACCAACAACATCAGTACCAGAATTAGGTCATTTTGACCTACATTTTTCTGCATGAATGACTTTGGTTAAATTGATAATGGAGGTTCATATTTCAGCAACTATAACTTATAGTGGCATGATAGTTAGTCAGTGGATACATCATGGGTAACCACAAACGCCTGTACCAGAATTAGGTCATCTTGACCTACATTTTTCCGCATGAGTGACTTTGCATAAATTTATGGTGGAGGTCCATATCTCAGCAACTATAACTTATAGTGGCATGATAATTTGTCAGTGGATACATCATGGGTAACCACAAACGCCTGTACCAGAATTAGGTCATCTTGACCTACATTTTTCCGCATGAGTGACTTTGCATAAATTTATCATTTCTTACTAACCACAGCGACAGCAGGCGAGACACAGGGTTGCGGGCAACCCTTACGTACTTTTTTTTATTAATAAAGCTGCTCGTCATTAGTCACACTAGTCACACAACAAGTGTGAAACCACTCATGAGCGAACAAGGAATCGCATTCGGTCAAGTCACATGTAACTGGGCCTGTACATACCCCCTTGTGTGTGGCGAGACCTTGAAAAGCAGTTGTTTCGTGTCCGCACCAATTACTTTTAGAATGAATTATAAAGGATGTCAATTATTTTATTTTTAATTAAAACCGGCTTTCAATAAAAATAACATTTTTGGCTTAAAATTCCAAATATTACCCTCAACAATTCTTTTTTCACTCACCGACTACCTTTTCCCGCCATCTTGTTCTTGTTTCACACTACCTAGCGTGGTGGTGTATATTCTTGAATCGCGAACCCGTTCCTGAGTTGTGTTCTTGGCGTTCGAAAACTGAGAATTTAATTACGAACGCGTTCTGGGATCAAGAACAACGGTTTCGAATGCACTCTTAAATTTTGTTTGAATGTAGTTGTGACGTCATCGATCAGCGTTATTGATACCCTCCGACAAAAATCAATAATTTAAATCTATGATGAAAAATGAGAATGCTTTTATAATGATTATTACTCCGG